ACACAGATGGCTGGGTAATAAACTTAGGAATTTTGAGTGGATAAGCACAAATTTGAGAGAACAAAGGAGACAGCTCCAAAATGGAGTCACTCTGGCTCCACACTCCCTAAGTTCCATATCTAAAGTTCTTGTTTGTGAAAAGCAATGACTATTTAACTATCTTTTGCAGCATTTATTTCAGCACTCCAGGCCAGCCTAGGCCAAAAGCGATTACCCTGTGTTTTAGTCCCAGCTGACTACCTTTACTACCTTTCCCCACGTAACTGAAGCACATATCTCCTTTTCCAGGCTTTGCTTCCTGTTTGGACTTCCTTATCTTGATGTGAGGTGCACTGTGTCAGTTTCTTTTTTTTTCTCTTTTCCTTTTTATTCTGAGTAGCCTCACTGAGCAGGTGATTGCTTGTGGTTCAAACCCCACATTGGGAACCAATTGCCAGAGACCCCGGTAGTCAGGTTCCAGTCCCCACCTGCCCAGTATACGACTCAGGCCTGAGAAAAAAATACACTAAGAGACAGAACTAGGGGAGAAAGCGGGGGCCAGGGCGACCAATGCCAGTGCAACTGACAAAGGCCCTGGCCAGTCCCAGGCACTGGCTTTTACTTTTTTGTGGTACCCGGGACCAAACTCAGGACCTTACATTTGCAAGGCAGGGGCAGCAACACTGAGCTAAATCCCCGGCCCTGGCCCGAGACACTGGCTTTTATTGGCAATCAATTGGGGTAAAGGCAAGCTGAGCACAGTTTGTATGGAAATTAATGTAAAATGGCTCATCAAGGACAAGACAAAGCACTGTCAAATTAGGAACAGAATACACAAAATATATGATTGTGATTCAAACACTGTCCTTCTAGTCTGAAGGTTTTAGTTGTAGGGAGGGAATTTGGGTGCGAGTTACTGTGACCTGGGCACGCAGGCTTCGGGTGGACTCACTTCTATAAACAAGCCAGTGGTGGGGCTCACTCTTCACAGCCTGCCTCGGGCATGATCAGTATCACACACCCTGCACGGTGCAGGAGGAGGTCTCGGTTGCTCTCTTTCCCCAGCCTGAGGGTTCAGCAGGCCCTGAACAGCAGCATGGAGATGCTCACTCGGTTGGCTCCTGTCCCTTCCTCTTCTCAGTCAACCGATTATGTCCAGCAGTGGTGACCCAGATGTGGACTGCAGGACCCTGGCCGTCATCTCCAAGAACGGAGGAGCAGCCACGTTGACCACCGGCAGGGGACGCCCAGGGAGCCCTTGCTCTGGGAATTGCTGTCTGCAGTCAAGTGTGGCTCCTGGGGTCCAGGCCCTCACCAGCTTCCTGGGGCACAACCCACGGGAGACTGGGAGTGGAAGGCAATTCCGTGCTTCTTTCTTTTTCAAGACAGGGGCTCACTGTGTAGCCCAGGCTGGCCTCGTATTCACAGCAATCCTCCTGCCTCAGCCTCCTGAGTGCTGGGATCACAGCACCACCATGCCCAGCAATTCCTTGCTTTTGCCAAGGGTGCAAGTCGGCCCTGGGCCTCCTGAGCCTGCACTTCCTGCTGTGGCTCCTGCTCTTGATCTGTAGCCACAGCTGTCGGGGGTCCTGACAGTCACTGGGGTGTCACCCCCCCAGCCTGTTCGAGGGGGTGTCATGCCCGAGCAGCCCAGCAGCAGAGAGGCAGCTGGTGGGTAGTGGAGGAGCACAGCTGGGCAGGAGGCCACCCCATGCAGGACCCTGAAGAACCCGGCCTCAGTCCCTCCATCCAGCAGAGACCCAAGGCTCCCCAGCCCCAGCTCCCTTCCCTCAGCAGCCCAGGACGAGGGGACAGGGCCGGGGGACCCAGTCCTGGTGTCCTCCACCCTGAGAAGGAGTTTGCAGTCATGACCCGGGTCCCAGGCAGCAGAGGGGTCTCCTGAGGGAGGAGGAAGAGAGCTCAGGGTGGGCTGCCTGCAAGTGACTGCTCAGAAGCCGGAAAGCAGGGTATTTATGGCAGCATCTGGGAGGCTGAGGCAGGAGGATGGCAAATTCAAACCCAAACTGAGCAGCCCAGTAACTTGGCAAGACTCTGTCTTAAAATGTAAAGGAAAAGGGCTGGGGATGGAGCTCAGTGGGAAGGCCCTGGGCTCCATACCCAGCTCGGTGGGCAGCAGGGCATCTCCTAGGCCTCGACACCCGCTGGAGAGCAGCAGACAGGTGGTGAGATGGGAATGGCCCAGCGCCCCTCTCGCTGGTGGCTTTATTCCCAGTGCAGTTCCATGTTTACTGAATATGAATCCCTGACATCTGGCGACCCCCACATGTCCAACACCTGCCTCTGCCTCCCAGGATGGCCCTGCCCTGGCCCTGGCGAAGTCACAGGCTCCCAGCTGTCACCTCGGCTGGCCCCCTTCAACTCCATCCCCACCCATCAGTGACAAGGACGTGGCTGCCTTTAGCAGCAGCTTTTCTTCCTTGCTGTCTGGAGGTGGAAACCCGGGTTTCTCTGGCTTTGGCTCAGCCTAGGGATGGGAAGAGCTGGGACTGGCCAGGTCTGGGAGTGCTGTTTCTCATGTCAGGGCACAGACCACAAAGGCTTCTGGGAACAGAGCAGCCTGGCCAGCGCTGGAGGTAGAACGAGGCTGGGCTGTGGCTGCTGCCTGTGTCCAAGCACCTGCAAGTCTCTCCTGTATGGCCCCACCTACCTCCCTCCCCCGTTGCTCGGCTCCTGCAGAAGACGACAGCAAACCGCTCTCTAGCGAGGAATGCATTAGAGCCCAAAGTGGCTCCCCAGGGACCAGGGACAGTCACTGCCAGAAAGGAGGACGCAAGGCCACAGGGCTGAGCCCTTCCTGTCCGGGGTACGCTCTGGACAGCAGCCATGAGAGTCACCTTGTCGTGCCTCGGGATCATGTCCACAGTCCTGGGAGGCCACAGGGACAGACTGCCACCCCCAGTTACTCACTGCTCAACACTGACCTCAAAAAGGACCCAGGGTTCAAAGGCCAGACCTTGTGTTTGCCACCTTCTGACAGGAAGGAAACCAGCCCCGGTGGCCTGGAGGGCAGAGGGGCAAGGGGAGCAGGGGGCCAGGGCCGGGCCAGCCTCTGCCCAAGACCAGCCAAGGCCGGGACCCGGTGCTGCTGGCCCCAAAGAACTGGTAGGGGTGGAGGAGGAGGAGACAGAGCAGGAAGTGGGGTAGGGGGGATGCGTCCCCTCCGTCCTCACGTGGGTGCCGTGGGGCCGTGGGTCCTGAGGATGGGGCAGCAGGTTAGGGCGGGTGGGGTGCCAGCGCGCTTCCCCGGCGGCAGTCCACGTACTCCGAGCCCTCGAAGCTGTGCTGGTCCTCGCGGCCCAGGTAGGAGTAGGTCAGGGTGCCTCTGAGGGAAGGCCAGGCCACAGCTTGAGGAGGCTGGGGGCCCAGCCTCCCCAGCCTGCCCTCCTCTGCTGCCACACACGGGCCTGGGAGTGAGATGAGAGCCACCAGGAAGGGCCTGGGCTCGCTGTCCCCAGAGCCAGGTCGAGGGGTAGGGTGGGTTCTCCCCAAAACACAGCTGAGGCGAGGCTGAGGCAGGAGGACTGCCTGGAGTTTGAGGCCAGCCTGTGGTACACAGCAGGATCCTGTCTCAAAAAGCCTGAAACCGGGCAGGGGATGTAGCTCAGTGGTTCCAGCACCTGCCTCGAAAGCACAAGGTCCGGAGTTCGATCCCCGGTGCCAAAACAAACAAAAAGCCTGAAACCAAAACCAAGCCTAAGGAAGCACAAGCAGGGACACCGGGCACCAGCCCCACTTACTGGATGTGGAGCACCACATAGTGGACCTTGATTTCCAGCCAGGTACAGATTTTGCTGAGACAGAGAAAGGGACAGAGGCGAGGCCAGGGTCGCACACAGGAGACCTGCAGGCCCAGAGTCCTCCCCTGCCAGCAGGGCCCTGATGCCACTTCCTGTCCTTCTGGGCCAGCTTGGTCCCCTGCAGCGACTCTGCTCCACCCTGTGCTTCGCCCCTGCACGTCCCAGTGCAAAGCCATACATGGTAAAGATTAACCATGGCCAGGGCCAGGGATTTAGCTCAGTGGTTCTGATGCCTGCCTCGTAAGCGCAAGGTCCTGAGTTCTAGCCCCCCCGTACCAAAAAAAAAAAAAAAAAAAGATTAACCACGGCCGGCCACGATCTTGCCCATCCCAGTGCAGCAGGCGGTGGTCTGGCCAGGGGTGCAGAGCCCACTGGGCACACGGGAAACCAGGAGGGAGCGCAACACAGGGACTCTCTATGTGGTCTCGTCCGAGATCCTGGTGGCCACGGCGTAGAGCATCTGTCCGGAGGGGGACGAGGTCAGCTGCCACCGGCCACCCTTCCCACCGCACACCCCAGCTGATGGCGGTGCCAGGACAGTCACCTGGTCACTGGCCAAAGGGCCGATGTGCAGCAGGAGGCTCTCAGAGAGCTGACCCACCATGAGGGACACGTGCAGGGCCTGGACCGTCAGCCGGGTCACGGTGACTGGGCAGTAGTTGGGGTTGGAGATGTTCAGGACACTCTGGGGATGAGGACAAGGGACAGGGTGGGGGTGACCCATCCCAGGCAGGGCGCGATCTTCCAGGAGGGCTCAGGAGCACAGGGTCAGCACCATGACCGACCCCTCCGGCCAGCTAAAGATGTTGCATCGCCAGGTGTGATGGCACACCCCTGTAATCCTGCCACTCGGGAGGCTGAGGCAGGAGAATTGCTGCAAGTTCAAGGCCTGACTGGGATACATAGGGAAACCCTGCCTCAAAAAGAAAAAGTTACCCGAGTTCAATCCCTGGTACCAAAAAAAAAAAGTTACACTGAGCGGTGCATGGTGGTGTACGGTGGTGTACACCTATAGTTCCAACACTCTAGGAGGCTGAGGCAGGAGAATTGCTGCAAGTTCAAGCTCAGTCTGGGCAACTTAGGGACACCCTGGACCCTGTCTCAAAAACAGGTGGGGTGTGGTGATGCACTCCTGTAATCCTAGCACTCTGGAGGCTGAGGCAGGAGGGTCGCCATGAGTTCAAGGCCAACCTGGGCTACAGAGTGAGTTCAACGCCAGCCTGGACTACAGAGCAAGATCTTTTCTCCAAACACTGAAAAAACAGTCAAGGTATAAAAGGACTGGGGATGCAGCTCAGTGTGAGGGCCCTGGGTTTGATCCCTGGTACTGAGGGAAGAAGAAAGAGAAGTCACACGGAGCTGCCCACATGTTGCCTGTAGTCCCAGCTACTCCGAGGCTCAGGCGGGAGGATCACTTGAGCCCAGGACTGAGAGCAGCCCGGGTAACGTGGGGAGACCGAGTCTCAGAAGTTGTGGGTCCTGTGTTGTCCGTACAGCTTCGCCACGCTGTCCCAGCACGTGGGAGTTGCAGGCACCCCCACCTCACCCCACCATTGCTCATGCAGCCTGGACTCTGATTCCACACCACACAGGGTCCCGATCCCTCGCGGTCTGTCCTGGCGCTCATGCGGTTCCCTGGGTGACACGAGATCCCTGGCGAGCCACACGGAAGGCTGTGACACCAGACAGGCCACGGAAGTGTGGCTGGGAGGGGCGGGCCGGGCACTCACCGTGGCTTTGAGGTGGACGGTGCCCTTGTCAAAGGCCACAGAGGAGGAGCTCAGGCCCACAGGGCGCACGGCGATACTCCGGGGAAACAGGAAGAAGGCGGTGAAGCCCGTGGTGGCCAGGCACACGAGCACTGCCAGGGACACGAAGAGCTTCCTGCAGGGCGCCGGGGAGCCATGAGGGGCCTGGGCGCTGGGAAACCTGACGTGGAGGACGCAGGCTCTGCCTGCTGCCCCCCAGCCCGAGCAGCTGCTTCCTGCCCAGCTGATGCCGGTACCGCCTCACACTTGGGATGGGGCACCATCCGCGCATCCAACTCGGAGCAGATGTGAGGAGGGACAGGGACAGGACTTAGCAGTGCCACCTTCCAATTCCGGTGCAGTGCGGGGTAGGAGGGACAATGGCTCCAAGCCAAAGCTAGGACCTTGTGTCACCCGAACCCAGACCAAGAGCAGGGTCACCAGCACCCCAAGAAACCCAGGGCTGCTTGAGGTTCCGGATGGCCCCAGAGTAGACTCTCCTGGTTTTCTGCCTCTACTGGGTAGAGAGCGGTGGGTCTGACCTGCACCACGATCAGCAGGAGGGAAGCACTGGGAAAACCCCCGGCCCAAACGCCCTGCAGCCAGGGCCACAGCTCCCTTCCGGGGACAGCAAGGCCTGGGCAGCGACGTCTGGGAAGGACCGTACGCCTCAGGTACTCTGCCACGCACTGCAGAAAAGGGCCATGGCCATGTGTGTGCCCACGGTTGGGGGGTGGCGCACTGGGAGCACCGAGCCGAGTCCCCAGACCTGTCTTATTTTTGAGGCCGGGTCTCAGTTGCCCAGGCCGCCCTGGACCCTGCCGTCCTGCCTCAGCCTCCTGAGTAGCTGCGATGACAGGGCTGTGCCACGCCTGGCTTCTCTTTCCATTCTGTGCTGGTGCTGGGGATGACACCCACAGCCCCGCGCACGCACTCTAAGCAAACGCTGCCACTGAGCTTCGCCCAGTCCCGACACCTCTCGGGAGCTGGGACGTTCAGCCCACTGAGCGCCGACCATGGGGAGAGGACGAGAAGGCAGCAGTGAGGCCGCTGGGTGGCACTGTGGGAAGGGCATGGGGCTTACGTGTGCCTGGGCTCCAGCCTCTGGTCCCCATAGGGGATAAGGGCCACCAGCTGCTCTTCCAGCTCTGCGGACAGGAACAGCGTGAGTAGGCGGCTGGCGGGGGCGGACGTCCCAGCTCCACACCCAGACTTGGGCCGGCGCTGCCTAGACTCAGGCCCCGGCGCTCACCTCGGGGGATCTCTCTGCTGCCCCGGCAGGTAGGACAAGGCACGAAGCGGCTGCCGGCTGGGCGGGTGGACAGGAAGGCACTGCGCTCCGCCCCTCCTGGGGAGCCAGGCTGGGAAAGTGTCTTGCCCATGGCTGGGGTGGGTTTTCCGCTAGAAAGGAATCCAGTTCAGGGCAAGGCCCGGACACACCGTGGGCAGAGGCCTGGCTCTAAGGGCTCCATGCCCGGGAGCCCCACTGCAGGGCAGCAGCCCAGCTGTCCACAGAGGAAGGGCTTGGGCAGTCCGGGGGCTCTTGGAGGAGAAAGTTTAATGCACCTCCACTCCCCTCCGGACTAGAACAGCCCAACATGCCTACAAAAGTAGAAAACAAGGGCCAGGGGTTTAGCTTAGTGGTTCCGGTGCCAGACTCACAAGTGCAAGGTCCTGAGTTCAATCCTGGTACCAAAAAAAAAAAAAGAAAAGTGAAAACCAAAAGCAGAAGTCATGAGACTTCCAGAAGTGATGGGCGGATGGGCCGAGGTCCCTACCCCACCCGAGCCAGCCCATTTCAGAGGGAGGAAGCTGGATCGAGCCGGGTGGAGACAGCCATTTGGAAAGTCCCTCCAGCCTCCCCAGTCTTGGGATTATTCTGATTTTTGCTGTTTTCTTTTTTTGAGAGAGAGAATCTTGCTATGTAGCTCAGGCTGGACTCAGACTCCAGGAAATCCTGCCTCAGCCTCCTGAATACTGGGATTACAGGCACGCAGGGTGTGGTTTCTCCGAAGGTCTCCACATGGGGACAGAGCTGCCTGAGGTCTGCCTACCTGGGGGAGGGCTCCGTCCCTGCGCCTGGGGTACTGGTTCAACGGAGGCAGGGCTTCGTTCCCCAAGGAGGCTGCGGTCCAAGGTGTGGCCAAGAGCCCTGCCTGTCTCAGTGCTGGGGGGCGCGCGTCCAAGATGGAGTAGGGAGGAAGCCTGGGGGCAGCCTTGTCCGCCACGCTGCCCAGGAAGGGTCGAGGCTAAATCTGTCCTTCCCCGCAGGGCCCCAGCGATGGCAGAATGAGACAGCCAAGTCGAGCCACACACAGACTGGGCTGTTTGTTGACACAGGGTCTCGCTATTGAGGTTCAGACTGGCCTTGAACTCATTATGTAGCCCAGGCTGCCCTCAACTCGCTGCATCCTCCTGCCTCTGCCTCCAAGTCCTGAGATCACAGGTGTGCGCCACCACGCCCGGCGCACTTACAGATCTTGGTAGCTAAAGCAGAGGGAGCCTCACCTGGTTCAGGGCTGGGATCGGCTCCCTCCGCAGCCAGAGCCGGGAGGGCCCTGGGGCCGAGCGGAAAGGCGGGTTTACCCTGACCCCCGAGGCCGCGGTCTAGCTTGGTCCGCACAGGGCCGGCGTCGGTCGAGGAGGCTCTGGCCCGGGACTCCGGAAGGAAGACAGCGGAGGCCCCGAGAGCACCGGCCCCGGACGGACGGAGACGAAACAGCGCCCCGAGGAACCGAAACTGCGGGAGCCGGGCGCCCTCTGGGCCGTCCGCGACGTCTTGGAGGCCCGCCCCTTTCCCCGCCCCTCTCCCCGCCCCCGCGCCAGAAGTCCAGGCCGAGTCTCAAGGACCGTTTATTTCACCTTTCTTTAAACGGCGACCGTCAGGTGCGGTACAGCGGCGGGGGGCCGCACACGCAAGGGCCCCCTGAAATCAGCCCTGTCACCAGAGGCCCGCAGCAGCGTTTTAAATGAGGGAGGGCCTGGCTGGTTTACAGTCTGAATTCTGGTTTATTTAGTAGCATTCAACAGTTATACTGGACATAAACATTACAATTAATGATTAATTAAAATTGCCACTTGTTATAAATACCATCCAGGTTAAATAATACTATTTTAACTATCCTTGCCCCTTTGGGCTGGGGTTCAGATTTTTCCTTCTCTGGAAGTCATTTTCCTCAACACGTCTGTTTCCTCTTCGCTCACCTGGGAACAGCGAGGGCCTGGGCCCTGAGCGAACTCTTTCCCGCCTGCAGGCGGACCCACAAGCTGTCCAGTGGGCTCGCCCTGCGGGCTTTGCCACCCACTCGCTCACCCCCACCCCAGTCTGATTCATGTCGGTGCCCTCCTGCTTTCCACTCTCCTATAAAGAACGTCCCTGACATTCACAAAAAAGGTAACTATTAAATTCACTTTTCCCTTTAATAGGTGGGTTTTTCCTTCTCTATAGGACTAGCGAAATATTTCACACTAAGTTTCTCTTCTTAAATGAAAGAAAAATGTCTGCAAGCTCACTACCGTGGCACCTCTGAGCCGAGGCCCTCAGGTGGCCCGAGCTTGGCCGTCCTCCCTTCAGTGGAGATTCCTGCAAGGAGGCCACCCAAGCACAACAGCCCTGCTCTGTACCCTTTCCATACCACGTGGCTGTGAGGCCTGGTGTGGGCCACAGGAATCAGGAGAATTGGTGAAAACAAACGCCAAGGCTAATTTCTTTCAAAGACTGACAATCAACAGGTATCCCCATTAAAAACATCCACATGAACCAGAGGAAAATACTCAACTTCAGTACAAGCAGAAAGAAAAATGGTTCTACAGAAGTTCAAGGTACACTCTTCAATGCACTAAAATGGAGGTGTTTTATCCAAATCAACTGAAAAACTGACTTCCCACTAGTCCAGTTCCTAAAGTGAAGTACTGGTCTTTGATTTGCTTCAAAAAATACTGTAACAGATACTGTCTTGAAAATTCAATGAAGGGCTCTAGAGATTCATCAGATTAAAAAGCAAGCATGGGCCTCCCCCCCAAGCCTGGGACAGAATAAAGACCACGTGGAGTGGCAGGTGGCAGCAAGGCCACCTCAGTAGCGATGGCTGGGCCAGTTGTTGCTGAGCTGAAGCAGCTCGGTCACCACTTGCAGGATGTTGTAGTTGTGCTTCTTCAGCAGCCTGAGGTTCAGCTGTTGGTCACAGAACCCCATTTCAAAGAGGTGAGCCATCAGGGCTGCGGTCTGGTGTTCAGAAACTATGGGCTGTGGAGAGACCAGAGCAACACACAGCATTGCCTGTGACTCAAGGGTTCCTAGCTTCCAGTTTCCCCGTCTCCTGCACACACCAGCCTTCCCAGATGTGTGGGAAGCACTAGGTATCCACTATGGGGTCACAGCCCGACCGCCCACCCGCCCTCAGTGCCTTCTGGGCCTGAGTCTGTGCTCGGGCGGAGGTGGCAGGGACCCATGAGAACAAGGGAGCAGGGACCACATGGTTGGGGACCCCATACTGGCCATGCCCTGTGGTGCCACGCAGCCTTTAAATCCTCCCGAGTGCACCTGATCTGTCACCAGCCCCAGGTCACAGGCATGTGGGGAGCCCACGGGGCGGGCACACAGGCTCAGCTTCAGCCCCAACTACCTCCACCTCCCCTCCAAGCCTCCCCCTCATGCTCCCTTCCCTCCCCTTCCCCAGGCTGATCCTTCCACACACAGCGCTTTGTCTCTACTCCTTTCCACCCCGGAGATCTTTTTCCAGTAATTATCCTCTCCCCCGGCCCCACATGTTTTTAATTGGGCATATTGGTTCTATGGAGAGGGTTTCATTTTTGGCAGATTCTCCTCCCGAGTTTCAGATTTTGTTCTGATACAGATTTATATATATATATGTATTTATCATGTGTGTGTTTTGATCATATTCATGCCCCATTTCCCACCCTTAAGCCCTTTCCCCATTCTCTTGTCTAATAAGCTCCCCTCTACTTTCATGTCTTTTCCAGATTCCACATACCGGGGAGGACATGCAACGCTTGCTCAGTAAGATCATCTCCAGACCCACCCATTTTTCTGCAAATGACAAAGTTTTGGGTTTTTTGGGGGGGGTGGTTACCAGGGATCAAACTCACAACCTTCCACTTGTGAGGCAGGCGCGGTGTCACTGAGCTACATCCCCAGCCCCAAAATTTTGGTTTTTATTTTGGCTGAGAAATACTGATATATCCCACAGGTTTTCTTTATCCACTATCTGTTGATGGGCACTAGCTGATTCCATGTCTTGGCTACTGCGCTGTGAGAGACATGGGTGTGTAGGTTTCCCTTTGCTATGCGGACTTTCTCTTAGTATCCACCAGTGATGGCGAACCTTCTAGAGACCCAGTCTCCAAACTGCAACCCAGAACACTTATTTATTGCAAAGCGCCAACCCTGCGATTAAACCCAAGTGCTTGGTTGCTGGGCGAGCTGGCACTCGTGTGACAGAGGGATGTGTGTGCCAGCTAAGGCACAGTGCCATAGGTTCACCGCCACTGGTCTACACCAAGGAGTGTGACCTCCAGATCAAACAGCGGCTCTCCCTTTACTCTTTGAAGAGCCGCCACACCGATTTCTTTTTTTTTTCCGGGTATGGGGGTCAAACTGAGGACCTGTGCTTGCCAGGCAGGCACTGTGCCACTGAGCTACATCCCCGGCCCACACATTTCCACAGTAGCTAAGTTTACATCGTGCCCACTGGCAGTGCAGGAGGCTGCCTTTCCCTGCATCCTGGCTAATATTTAATTAATTTCTTATCTAATTTTTTTGCAGCACTGGGGATGGAACCCAGGGCCTCTGCTCTGACCCCAGCCCCATCCCTTTCCATTCTGAGGCAGAGCCTTGCCGAGTCACTGTATTTCAGGGCTGGGCTCTGAGGTGCACTCCCTCGCGGAGCAGGGAGACCGGCTGGCCATCCTGACCTGAGTGAGTGGGCTCTTGAGGTGGCTCTGACCCGCACCCCGCCTTTGTCCTTAGCCCTTGCCATCCAGCCTCGCCCCTCTGCCAGGCGGCCTGGCCGCTGCCCTCTGCCCTGGGGCTGTGGCTTCTGGGCCTCGGGGCACTGTCCTTGAACTCTCAGACCCCTGCCACCAGGTCCAACCTTCCCGCAGACTACCTGACCAGCAGACTCTGACCCCCACACCTCGTCCCTGGTGCAGGGTCCTCTTTCCTGATCCACAAGGGCTGCTTCTGGCCTTCCCCATCTTCCCAGATAACCCCATCGGCCCACAGGCTCCTGCTGTGACCCACACATCAGCATCAGGCTGCCTGTCTCAGGGGCAACCCCCCTCCACTGCACCCTCACCATCCTTAGTGGACCCGGGTAAGCCTGGCATGCAGCGCTGCCCACAGTGAACCTGTCTCACACGCCACCCGCACGGCCTCTGCATGCCTGGAGCCAGAAGCTTAGGCTTTAGCCTAGAATTTTTTTCTTTGTGGCACTGGGGATGGAACCCAGGTACACACTACCATTGAGCTATATCCTCAGGCCCTCTTTTAAAATTATTTTTGATTAATTGCAGCATTCAGTATTGAAGCCAGGGTCTTCACACTGAGCTGTCCCAGCCCTTTGTCTGTTCTGAGACGGGGTCTTGCTAAGTTGCCCAGCCTGGGCTCCAACTTTCTATCCTCCCACCTCAGCCTCAGAGTCCTAGGGTTACAGGCGTTGTTTCTATCTCTTCTACTGCCTTTTCCACCCCTCCTCTCCAGCTGTCCGTGGGTCTCCACATGGCCCTTCACGGGCTCCATCAGCCTCCACACTACAGTGGGCCTCACTAAGCCAGCGTGGCCCCGTCAAGTCCCGTCCTTTCATCACCCTGTGCCTTACCGCGACGTCCAGGCCTCGGCATCCGTCGTCTCTGCCCTTCTCTGCCCTCTTCGAAGACAGCCTCACCACCCACACCCTCCCTGGGGGGGGGGGGGGCTCACTGGCTCTGTGCTGCCCACTACTGCCCACCGTATTCCTGGTGAGCCCTCCTTCTGCCCGGGGGCCCAAGGCCGGCTGCATGTTGCCCTGCCCACTGAGCGCTGTCCCACAGCCTCTGCCTCTGCAGCAGGTCCTCAGTCCCGTGAGCACCGTCCTCCTCGCTGAGGAACTTGGCTGAAGTCAGGCGCCCAGGAAGGAACGAGCGAGGCTGTGTGCGAACCGAAGAGCACGCCGAGGCCCGTGCTCTCCCCACAGCCCCGCCACTGGGCCTTGGTGCCCTGGACCCGAGGGTCAGGCAGCTGAGCGGGTACTGACCTGTGCAGTCACAGGGGGCCCAGAAAACAGGGCCTTGTATGCAGAGGCGGTAACGGACAAGGCCCCCTTCACCAGCCCTCCCGCGATGCTGCTCCCGTGCAGGTGCCTCTGGAGGGAAAGCCACCACCGCCTTACAGGACAGCTGGCTGCGGGGTTTCCGAGAGAATCCAGAGGCAGAGCGGGCAGGAGGGAGGGCAAGTGGGCGGGGCTACTTCCCGGAGTGGGAGTTCACGCCCTGCCTGCTGTGGGCCCAGCTGTGGAGCAGGCATGGACCTCAGTGCAGGCTGTGGGCAGCTAGGTCCTGCACTCGCGTCACAGCACCTCAAGGGGAGCGGAATGCAGCCTCCCCAGCACTGGGGAGAAATTTAGGGCGTCCCCTCCGTCTGCTGCTGCTCAGGGATGGGGCCGCTGTCCCGCTGTCTGGAGCCCCAGCAGGAGCAGCTTGGGCGGCGCTGTTACCTTGAGTGGTCACAGCTCTTCTGTCCGCTGGTCACAGGTCCTGGGCAGCCTCTGGGCCCTGAAAGCAAGGAGCTGTTGGTTAGAGGCAGCACCACAGCCCACGCGCGCCCGACCGGGGCGGGCGGCAACCACCCGGCAGGCACTGCCTAGGGCATAGGAGACACCGACACCGCCGAGATCAGGACGAGGGAGAGAGAGCTGAACCATCCGCTCTGTCCATCCCTCACACGGGAGTCCAGCTCTCCCACACTCCGGTGGGCCCTGGGCCTGCAAGGCCGGGCCTACACACCCGTGGCCGACCTCGCACGACGCCCACCTCTGCCAAGTCCTCCAAGCCTCAGCTGGACCTGAGGAGCCCCGAGGAGCTGCGCAGAGAGGAAGCCAGGCTGGAAGCTGACGGCCTGCCAGCCCAGCTTTCTGCGAAAGGAGAGGATGGCGCTTGAGCCGGAGTTACCTGCTTCGACCTGACTGGGGGCTGCAGAGGCTTCTGGGGTGGTGGCCAGGGCGTCCACTCCTGGGGGGCCGTGGTGTGCACACAGAGCGCGCCTTGCAGAGAGGACACAGATAGTGAGTTGAAAAACAGCAGTGGCAGGGGGGACAGACAATCGGCACAGCATGGCGGTGCCGCATGATGCAGGGGATCGCAGTCCTGCCCAGTCACAAGCATGACCCCAGGCCCGGGCCTAGGAGCCACCTTCTGCTTTTCCTCCTTGGCCACCATCAACCAGAATGATTGGCTTTGTCTGGTCACTTTTTCTTTTCAAGTACAGAACTGGGGTTGAACCCAGGGCCTTCATACTGAGCTGCATCCCTAGCCCTTTCATTCTCTGAGATAGGGCCTTATTAAACTGCTGAGTTGCCCACACTGGGATCAAACTTGGCAATTCTCCTGCCTCAGGCTCCCACAGCAGTGAGATGACAGGCGTGCACCCCCACATCTGGCCCAGTCTGGTCACTTTATCAACATCCCCCTGTATGAGGGTGTTGGTTAAGAGACGTGGCCAGCTTCTGGGGAGAAGGCTGTAAGTTACAGCCAGGCCGCTGGCACTTCCTGTGGCACTGGGAGAGGGCAACCACTCAGATGGATCCCGTGGAGAATTCGAATCTCTATTAGGTTCCTAACTTCCTAATTACACCTCAGGTTAATGTACACATGAGTCTTTGCTGCCTTTACTCATAAATAAGCAGAATAAGAAGGGAAGGCCCAGTGGTGTTTGGTTTAGTAACTGGCTCTCAGGGATTCAAAATAAGCAGATGGACTATGCTCAGGTAATGCAGGCAGTCTCAAACAAGTATTCCTGTAAGTCCCAAATCCACAAATCCTGGGAAATATGACTTTTATTCATCTAAACTTGGATTTTACTACAGGAAAAGTCTTCCAGTGCTGAGGAAAACACAGACTTGAGGCCAGGCTGCTCCTCCCGCTGTTCTGTCACAGGGGCTGGGGGTGATGGGTAACTGGGTGGCACCAGCAGGAGCCCCACCACCTCGGGGACCAGGGGCACCACTTGCACAGTCTGTGAGGTGGCGAGGATGGTGCTGAGGCTGTGCTCCCGGGATGGGCTCTGCCCTGCAGGTGGTGTGGCCGGGGTTCCGGTTCCGGTTCCAGTTCTGGCCTGGGTCTCAGTCTCGGTTGGCTCCCACCCAGCTTCCAACCCCAGCTGGCCTTCGGCCCCTTGCTCCAGGCCTGGCTGGCTGTGAGAGCGCGGAGCTATACATGGAGTCCCTGAGCAGGAGGGAGGAAGAGGAGGCCCCTGATGACTGAGGTGGCTTTTGCAGCTGTCTGCAACAGGCCAGGCCGGGCCCCTTCCCCGACACCATGAGCCAGAGCAGCGCTGCCTGCCGGCCTCACCTTGATACTCAGGTGTAAACTACAATAACATTTCAATCATTCCAGTGAAAATAGGATTAATGTTAGAACCTGCAGCATTTGCATATCACTGGGAACAAAGTGGATATTCTGCCAGAACAACTGTTTAAATGCATGAAGCTGGGGAGTTTGAACCTAGGGCAAAACTGCATCATGTCTCTCTGAGAAAAAAATGGTGAGCTTTCCCAGTTCAGTCACCTGCTGCTGAAGGGCAACTGCTAGGACCACCTGCCAGCCCAGCTGGGCCAGTGTCCAAGGCACAAGGAAAGCAGGCTTGGTGTGCAACATTACCTTTTGGATACCCTGCCACTGGAAGTCAAGCATTCAATCAAGACATAAACGTTCCCTTTGCAAATGGGATTTAAACTCGGATAATATGTGCACATTTGCATAAAGGAAGAGCTTCCTGGACTGAAAATGCTCATGTACAAGTTATTGGAAGATAATGCTTCTTAAGAGAAGCTACATCTTATAAAATAAAGCACAGAGAAGATGGAGAGAAGGCTGATAGAAAACATGATGGAATGTTCAATGTTTGTAGTGTTTGAAGTCATTCATTTTCAAGTCTTTTGTCTTTTGTTCTTCTTTTATTCTATATAGTTTTTTTCTCCTGGGGAGAGGGAAGGAAAAATTATAACCAATAATCTTAGTTCTTTTTAAATTGTTTGTAACTTGGATGCTGCCACTACTCAATGTTTATAAATGCTTGCCTGCCAAAGTCAATGGTTAAATTGACTTTTTCTAAGTATAAAAAAATTCATTCTTAGAATTGGAAATTTGAAAATTTAGCCTGTGGTGATTACTGTACATTTTTCAAAATTACCATGGCTTCAATCTTGCTGAATGAGACTTGGAAATCTATGACTAATTAAATTATTTCTAATTCCCAGTTCCCTAGCTACAAATACTTACTGAGTATCCCTCTTTACTTACTTATTACTCCTGCTTTGGGATATGGCTGTGCGAGGACTTGATCCCAGGTAATGCTGCAGCCCTGTTGCCACCACTAGGAACTCATAGCTGGTGCAGTGACTCTGGCAGAACTGGAATTAACTGTGAAGCGCGCGCGCGCGCGCACACACACACACACACACACACACACAGAGCTGTCCTTGACTCTCTTGGAAAGAAAAATAAAGGCTTATTGCTGACATTGAATATAAACAAGTGATGTCTTTCTTGCAGCACCCTAATTGACATAGCTGCTAGAAGTAGTACTATTCCATACTATTTCAGAATTGAGTGGTTCATGTCTAGAAAAGTAAAGGCAGTGATTTCATGCTGTCTCGAATCCACTCATTGTTATTGTCCTTAGAACCACCTTCAACAGCATATTTCTAGGTAATTTTTCTTCTTCCAAGTACATGTATTTCTTAATCTCAGAAAAAGTGTAAAGAATTGTTCCTCAAATTTCACTAAATTTTTTAGCCCTCAAAATATTTGCAATATATTTTCCCACTCTTTTACTTCTGATTCACTTCAATAATTCTCTTTTCGTAAAGTTTTTTCCTTATATCATGCATCACATTTTTATTTGAATTACAAAATCTTGTTATTTTCAGTCTTTGATTCTCTTTCTTTTGCATTTTTCCCTTTAACTTGCCTTATATGTAGAACTCCTTCATCAGAAATGATGACAGTTGATTTATATGGCTCAGATGTTTTTATTTTTTTGTTTGTTTTTCCTTTGTCTCTCTATTTCTTTGAACTTTTTTTTTTTTTTTGGTACCGGGGATTGAACTCAGGTCCTTGCACTTGCGCAGAAGGCGGCGGAACCACTGAGCTAAATCCCTGGCATGGACTTAATTTTTTAACATATCGGTTTCTTTCTGGAAGTCTTATATTCTGAGTTCTGAACAGTTTATTTTGGGCTGTATTCATCATCACAAAATCCCATTTTCCAATTTCTTTCTTCCATAATGCATAACATTTTAAAGAAGATAAAGAAAATACACAACAAAATAAGCAATATTCTTTCTAAAATAGTACTGGACACAATTCATAAAAAATTAAATTCTAGGGATGCCGTAGCAACGTTGCAAGTTGAGTGCAACGTGCGGAATCAGCCCACGCCCCAGCAGCAATCCACTGGACCCCCCTCCCGCTCCTCTGGCCTCTTCTCTGTACAGCCACCTGGTTCCACACTACAAAGATGCAGAGGACACCGGACCACCAGACCACTGTACTGGGTAAGTTGGAGTCATCTTCACCTCCCATCAGGACCGGGACTATCTTCAGGG